TTGACCCTACAAAATTGAATCAGTTGCTAACAAGGAGTTTCCTTCGTTGCTGACGATGGATTCATTGCCTACTGCAGATTTGGTGCCTGAACTGAACAAGGAGCAAGGTCCGAAACCACCTTCAGAAGAAGGACCTGAAGGTCAGCAACGAGGTGGATGCCACAAATCGAGGTGAACCCCAACAACAGGCCGGAATGTTGCCCCAAGGTGAACCTCAACAGCAAGCAGCGCCTCCTGATTCTCAACAGCCGGCACCGCAGGAAGAAGGTGAGCTTGTTCAACAGTGTTCGTCAATTTTCGCGCTGAAATAATTCGGGTAAAACGGGGTTTTCCAGTCTCGCAGTCTCCATGATGAGAATCCAACTCAGAAAATGAGCGAAATGTTTGATTGACAACCTTTCTTCGTCGTTTTGCAAATCGGACACTGGTCTTGGGCGACCCCGCACCTTGTTTCCTTCGCAACGATCAGATAGCCAACTCTCTCTCTCTCTCTCTCTCTGTCTCTCTTCACTTTCGTTCATCTATAACTATCCGTCACCAACTGGACTGAGAAGTAATTTGAAGACAGCGCCAGCGATCGTCTTTTGCAGGATGATGGGCTTAGAGTCATTAGATCATACAAGAAGTTGCCTTCAGAAACACCCCAAATGAGACATGGGGTGAAAATGGACGAGTTGATTGAGATTTGGGCGAGTTCTCTGAAATTACCAGCTGTGACTCATCTCCCAAGACATTCAAATTTGCTGCATGGAAATGGAATTCAGTTGCTAATTCAGACTAGATTGATCTAACAGCCTTTCTCACACTTGCCTCCTTTTTTGTCTTCAGCGATTTAGGCCATTTCTAAAAGACATTCTGGTGGTGTGGGGGGGGGGGGGAGGGAGAGTTAGGCAAAGCGGGTCATTCTCGACGGCATATCTCCCGATTGAACTTCACGTTCAGATGGGTGCAAACTATCTTCAAAAGACGCATGCTTCCTATAGCTGTTCGAAAGAGAACTCTAGACCGCTTCCCGGGCACCTCGAGCTCAATACCATCCCAAAGACGTATGCCAAATTTTTCTCGAGCTACTGAGAGCTACACCTAATCTCCTGCGTGTCATTTGCCACGCCCGGTCGTAAACAATTGCAAGCGCGGCGCGTACTACATCATCTCTTACTGAGATCCACTGCACTCATGTTGGAGCTCCTTCATAGCGTCGGCACTCTCCTCCATTTGTACATCAACCAGCTGAGCTGCGTTCAGAACTTTGCCCGGCAGCGTCCGACAGCGACCAGCCGCTGTACTAATTTGGCTACTAGCGTGCTGAGGTCCAGCAGCGTCAGCGACACTAGGAAAATATAGATATCGACATAGCGACCAGTAGCGTCTACCAGTGTCCACCAGTAGCCAGCAAGGTCTAGGAGTGAAGAGTATGGGGCGATAGGGGGGTAGCAGGCTGCTGGTAGAGAGTGAGCGATAGGAAGGTACCAGCTGTCTGCTGCCCTACTCTCAACTCCTGGACACTGCTGGTGGCTGGTGGACGCTGCCGCCAAGTACGAACGCAGCCTAGGGAATGCTCTGATACTGCATGCAACACCCAGACTATCACATTGCGGATGCCGCCGTACTGCACCCATCTCCGAATCATTTCATCATTTTTCATCAGAAATTCATCAATAATTTCCTCGTCTTTTAAAATCGCTTATGAGGCAATTATCTTCCGTAACTGAGAATGTGTTTTGACAAAGTGGAACATAAAAGGAGAGCCAAATTAATCCGATAAACCGCTCCACAGAGACGAATTTATGACACACCATGTGTGTCACGCAGTCCGGAACGTGTAAAGAAACAGTTCCGCGATAAAGTATCTCACCAGTAGTAAATCATCCATTGGCAAAGAAATGAATACGCAAAACAACAAAAACACCCGACTGAAAACACTTGAAAAAAAGAAACTTTAAAAAACTTGGCGTACGAATTTGCGGTTATGGTGGCGTGCGTTCTTTAGTGCGTCGTAGCTTCTGCACCAACGAACCATTGCATCCACTTCCGTGATTTTAGCTGTGTTTTACTTTGGGCGGAGATGGTTGCACTTGACTGTATGTGCCTCAGTGAATAAAGATGTGACAAGGAGAGGGCAGAATTACTTGTACACGAGCGCCGGTCAGCAAAACGGTGCATACAGGGCGATTATCTCGCAGCCCAACAAAATGACAAGTTGAGCGGCCCTCCTCAGAGTGCAATCTGGCAAGTGGTCGGCGTCCAACTAAGGCGGCGCGTTAAGAACCTGAGAAGTTCCCCTCTGTACCTTAAGCTGTGTATCTGTGAAATTTGGCGAACCTAGCCCCAGAAGAAGTTCTCGAGAAATTGAAAAGAAGCCCGAGTGGTGAAAATCGGCGCCGGTTTTCAAATCAGACGTCATAAGAGGAAAGTGCGCTGCTCAAATTTGACCTGCGCCGGACCATAGTTGTGTGTAAGGGTGTTCTCGAAATACACGGTGGAAGATTTGGTTCAGAGCAGCCCGTACAAGGAAGAAAGGAAAAAATTTGTTGTCGTGGATGGTCCCATAATATTCATCCTGCACAAGAAAAACGGGTGGATGAAGTCAGGCACTGAATATCTGATCACAGAGCCTGGACCTTTGTCGGGTTTCCCCGCGAGACTGACATCCCTGCTGCAATTACTGTACGTGTTATGACCGATAAACTGAGGATGGTCAAGGGGGTGTGCGCATGGGTACCAATTTTCTTGTAGAAGCACGGACGTAGTACCTATCCTGTGCCTCTAGCAGTAATGTTCTCAGCATGAGATGTCATTCACGACTGTGAAAACGTTTCCCCGCCATAGATGAAATATGGGTGGTCTTGGACCTCGAGCCAAAACTCACAATCGTCAATTTTGTATGAATGCAGATGAGAAGCCGCCCGAGTTCTACCATGAAGAGTTACGTGGGCGCAAGTGGATGATCATCATAGCAAAGGACACCTGTGGCTTCAAGCGGCTCTATACAGAGAACAAATCCGTCACTGTCGGTGCATATTGCCTGTTCCTCGGCATTCAGATCGACAAATGGATGGTACCACACAACTACAAGAAGGCCACCGTTGCTCGTCAGTACCAGACCCCGAGTAACTGTATTGTAGATCAGTGCTGGGACACAAACAATACTGAGACCTGGGTTCAATCGCCCCATTCGCCCGTCATAAAGCCATGCGATTACAACTGTTCTATTCAGTTGAGAGTACTCTCCGACGGCAGACGCTACAATGTTTTGTCATTTGCCGAAATTGGCAACAACAGCAATTTACCCACACTTGTTGAAAAATCGAAGTACCAGAGGTCATCCTAAAGCTAAAATATCACTTTTCTATCTATTCTCATCTTTGTTTTATTCAAAAAAAACCAGCGGCCAGTTTGAATGGGATGACCTAATAATACACGGGAAGCTCGGCAACGGGGGAGGAGGCATTTTGCACTTTCGCTCCTTTACATCTACGTGTCGACTCATCTAGAGAGCCGTTTCTTGAGCTTACAAAAGTTGATATGTTTTACCATGGTGGATGGACGAGGTTCCCTCAGCTTCACAAAAATTCACAGGTTCTTCCAGAGTGAGGCTTGTGAATCGGAACTAGTGAAGCAAGCTGAAAAGTGTTAAACAATGCACCCAGCCGCGTCCGCCGAACTGTGCTCAATTAGACGGGAAATACTTAGCGACTGCTCCATAGTAGGATGGCAAATCTTTTCACATAATTATCCTTTATTTCTTTCGAAGGACAAGCGAGAACGTCAGGACAACCAGCGAAACCGAGTGACCATGACATGCCGGGCTCTGTTTGTAAGTGCTTTACCAATAGTTAAGTACTCAAGGAGTTTTGACCCAAAATTGATCATTCCTAACAAGGAGTTTCCTTCGTTGCTGACGATGGATTCATTGCCTACTGCAGATTTGGTGCCTGAACTGAACAAGGAGCAAGGTCCGAAACCAACTTCAGAAGAAGGACCTGAAGGTCAGCAACGAGGTGGAATGCCACGAGTGAACGCCGCAGCAACCAAGCCGAATGTTGCCGACGCAAAGGTGAACGCTCAACAGCAGCAGCGGCCTCCTGATTTCTCCAACACGGCACCCGCAGGAAGAAGGTGAGCTTGTTCAACAGTGTTCGTCAATTTTCGCGCTGAAATAATTCGGGTAAACGGGGTTTCAGTCTCCAGTCTCTGAATGAGAAATCCAATTCAGAGAATGAGCGAAAATGTTTGAATTGACAACCTTTCTTTTCGTCGTTTTGCAAATCGGACACTGGTCCTTGGTCCGCTTCAGCAACTGCCAGAAAAGGGTTAACGTCGCGCGCTGCCAGCACTCCGCCTGCCCTGACACGTCTTCCTACGGCGAACTGCAGTATATACTGTTTACCTCGCCATTCCCCATATCGTGGGTTATTTTACGGATTTGCAAGGCGTAAGCACGGTCTAGCAACCCTCATCAACACTTGCATTAGAGCTATTATCAATTCGCGCCACCCACTTTCAATATACCGCCCCACCCCCCATATCATTCCTTGAAGCAACCTTCCCGCTGATCCTGCGGCCCGTGCTGTAGACTTGGCTCACTCTTCTTCCTAGTGCATCCTTATCAACCTCTATGTGTTGCTACCACTTTCTGTCGCCTACCTTCGAGGTTCAGCTTAGCAAAAACGAAACTAGAACTCCAGCTTCAGCTGGGACCTTGCCACAAGGTGAACCTCAAAACAAGTTGTAGCGCCTCCATAACCTAAAGCTCATCAGGGTGTATCCCACCATTTCGTTTGCTGAAAAAAAAGTCCCATGTGGCTGGCGACGCGCGCTATGATATCCCTGTGAGCAGGCGGATGGACTTACACCATAATCGGGGGCAGCTCGGCAATGGGGCAGGGGGCATTTTGCACTCTCGCTCCTCTACATCTACGCGTCGACTGATCTAGAGATCCGTTTCTTCAGCTTACACAAGAATTTGTCAGGTTGTAAACCATGGTAGATGATCGATGTTACCTTCAGAAAAATTCCCAGGTTCTTTTAGAGAAGCTTGTGTACGCGGAACCTGTAAAGCAGCGAACTGCGAAATGCCCTATGCCCTCGCCGAACTGTGGCCCATCAACCGGAAATACTTAGCGACTGCTCCCATAGTATGGATGGCGATCTTTTCCACATAATTATCCTTTATTTCTTTCGAAGGACAAGCGAGAACGTCAGGACAACCAGCGAAACCGAGTGATCATGACATACCGAAGTCTGTTTGTAAGTGGCTTCACCAATAGTTAAGTACTCAAGGAGTTTTGACCCTACAAAATTGATCAGTGCTAACAAGGAGTTTCCTTCGTTGCTGACGATGGATTCATTGCCTACTGCAGATTTGGTGCCTGAACTGAACAAGGAGCAAGGTCCGAAACCAACTTCAGAAGAAGGACCTGAAGGTCAGCAACGAGGTGGAATGCCCAAACGAGGTGAACCCCAACAACAGGCCGGAATGTTGCCCCAAGGTGAACCTCAACAGCAAGCAGCGCCTCCTGATTCTCAACAGCCGGCACCGCAGGAAGAAGGTAAGCTTATTCTCCCATGTCGTAAATTTCTGGCTCAAATTCAGAGACCATGATAAGGTATTGTGGGTAGTGGAGCTCAAATAGCGATGCTAAAATGACAGGAAAGTCAATGAAAGGAAAGCAGAAAAATGATCGCTAATTGATACACTTCTGATCTATTCGCAAACTCCGACTTTTCCATTCCGAAATAGTTGACTTCCGTTCTGCAGATCTAGTTCGCCGTGGACGATGGGGCGTGTCCACGCGAGATGAGCTTGGCGGGCTCCCCAAACCTGTCCTTCGCACCAGTTGCAGCGAGCCCCAAGTGAACAAGACTAATCACGATTGTTGCTATCGTTTCGTATCCACTCGTTTTCTACCAATTTTGTTTTCGCGATATCCCGTCTTCAGCAACTGCAGAGACGGGTTAGGCGCCGCTGCATCACTTCCACCTCGCTGCTCTCTGACACGCCGAGTCCCTTTCCTTCTCCGCCTCTCCCTTCAACGCCCCCCATGCCGCACACCGGCTCGCGCCGCAAGGTTCCCGACATGGCTTGCCTCGTCCTCCTCGTGTCCCACCGCTCGTTCCCCCCATAGTCGTTCGATTTTTTTGGATTTTGCAAGGCCGTAAGCACGATATAGCAACCCTCACTCCAACACTTGCATTAGGCTATTAATCACTTCGTGCCACCCACTTTCAATATACCGCCCCACTCCCCATATCATTCCTTGAAGAAACCTTCCCGCTGATCCTGCATCCCGTGCTGTAGACTTGGCTCGCACGCTTGTTCTCTGCGGCACCTTATCAACCTCCATGTGTTGCTACCACTTTCTGTCGCCTACGTAAGAGGTTCACGCTTAGCAGAAATGCAACGAGAACTCCAACTTCAGCTCGGACATGCCACAAAGCGAACCTCAAGAAACAAGTAGTAGCGCCTCCATAAACTAAAGCTCATCAGGGTCGGGTCACAATATCATTTGCTAAAAACACGTCCCATTGTGGCTGCGACGCGCGCTATGATTTCCGTGACAGGCGAACGGACTACACAATAACCCGACGGGGCAGCTCGGCGAGGGGGAGGGGAGGCATTTCCCACTTTCGCTCCTTTACATCTACGTCTCAACTCATCTAGAGAGCCATTTCTTCAGCTCTACAGGTTGTACCATGGTAGATGGACGAGGTTTACCCCGCGCGCTTCCAGAAAGATCAACAGAAAAGAAATTCCACAGGTTCTTTCAGCCCAGTGAAGGCTTGTGAACCAGAACTATGCAGCGAAAGTAGCAAAAATTGCCCTCTGCTCGTCGGCGCCAACTGTGCCCAATAACGGAAAATACTTAAGCAAACTGATCCATTATCAGGATGGCAAAAATCCTTTTCAAACATTAATTATCCTTTATTTCTTTCGAAGGACAAGCGAGAACGTCAGGACAACCAGCGAAACCGAGTGATCATGACATACCGAAGTCTGTTTGTAAGTGCTTCACCAATAGTTACGTACTCAAGGAGCTTTGACCCTACAAAATTGATCATAGCTCTAACAAGGAGTTTCCTTCGTTGCTGACGACGGATTCATTGCCTACTGCAGATTTGGTGCCTGAACTGAACAAGGAGCAAGGTCCGAAACCACCTTCAGAAGAAGGACCTGAAGGTCAGCAACGAGGTGGAATGCCACGAGGTGAACCCCAACAACAGGCCGGAATGTTGCCCCAAGGTGAACCTCAACAGCAAGCAGCGCCTCCTGATTCTCAACAGGCACCGCAGGAAGAAGGTAAGCTTGTTCTTCAGTGCTCGTAAATTTCTGGCTCAAATTCAGAGATCACGGTAAGGTATTGTGGGTAGTGGAGCTCAAATAGCGATGCTAAAATGACAGGAAAGTCAATGAAAGGAAAGCAGAAAAATGGTCGCTAATGCCCCATGTACCACACGCGCAGTCCTAGGGTTGAATCCCGGCTCGGCTCTCTCCCAAACCAATCATCCAGTCTACCCTCCGGGTACGACGAACTGGTGCCAGATTCGTATGTGACTATAAAAACAGTGACTTGCTCGTTGGCTCGCCCAAAAGTGCTTGTGCATCCATCCTACTATATATAATCCGCTAATGTGTGTGTGTATGTGTGTCACGAAATTCATAACACCTGTCCCAGTGGCAGAGAAACGTTGATTCCAGGAAGTGATGGAGGGGTGTGACGGGAACACCATTGGTGGGTGACAGGATGTGATATCAGTTGATAAGATTCGATAAGAGGCGTTCAAAGGGGATGGTCACCCAGTCCATAGTGCGGGCCACAGCAGCAGTGGGACGTTGGTTCCGAGCAGTGAAATAGGGGTGGGACGAAAACATTATTGGTAGGTGACAGGATGTGATATCAGCTGATAAGATCTGATAATGGGCATTAGAAGGGAAGGACTACCAAATTCATAGTGCAGGCTCAAAAACGAACAGTGGCTGCTTGGATCCAAGAGGTGATAAGGGTTGAGGGACGGGAATCATTATGGCGACAGAAAGTGATAACAGTGTGATAAGAATCCGATAAGGGGCCTCGGAAGGGGAGGGTCATCAAGTTCGTACCGCAGGTTAACAGCAACAGCAGGACCTTGGATCCGAGAGGTGATATAGGGTGTGGGACGGGAACATTATTGGCGGGTGACAGAAAGTGATAACAGTTGATAAGATCCGATAAGGGGCCTCGGAAGGGAGGGTCATCAAATTCGTAACGCAGGTTACAGCAACAGTGGCAGGACCTTGGATCCGAGAGGTGATATAGGGTGTGGGACGGGAACATTATTGGCGGGTGACAGAAAGTGATAACAGTTGATAAGATACGATAAGCGGCTTCGGAAGGGGAGGGTCATCAAATTCGTAACGCAGGTTACAGCAACAGTGGGACCTTGGTTCCAAGAAGAGATATAGGGGGTGGAACGGGAACATTATTGGTGAGTGATAGGAACTGCTATCAGCTGATAAGATTTGATAAGAGGCGTCTGAAGGGCAGAGCCACCGAGTGCATAGCGCGGGTCACAGCAACAATGGGACTTTTGCACAAAGAAAAGATATAGGGAAGTGGGACCGGGAACATTATTGGCGGGCGACAGGTGCTATGAGGTGAAAGTAAAAAGCTGACATGGAAAAATCAGCTACACCACTCACAAAACATTGCATCGATATAACCCTGTATCACGATCTCAGTCATTTCAACACAATTTATTCCTCACTGCTTTATCAACCGGCACGACGACGGATGTTACGACCCGGCGCCCCAAGCCTTTTAGCCTCCCCGAATGTTTTCCCACATGGCGGTTGTTTACAGGGATGTTGTGAACATGCAGGGCAATAGAGTTAATTCACTCTTACATAACGTCTCTCTTATCAGTAACCTTAGTAGAGACCATTCAAAGCGTTCCACCGCTGAATGCAGGAGTGCATTCCACAGCGAGACGCTTCGGGAGTAGAGAATGCATGAAGCAGTAGGATCCTTCTGCGGTTAACCTGACAGGCTGCTATATTCGTGTATGAACGTACCAGTTAGATCGCTGGCTAAGGCCCGCCCGCTCCTCCTTCTGTGATGCGCGGGAACTGCTGCTGCTTCTGTGTCTTGACAAGGCCGGCTTTCCTTGATTGCGCCGCTAAGTTCTCGGCTGATGCAGAACAATCCTTCGAACCGTATGGTTGGTCAACGATTCGTAATCTAGCATGCGGAATATTTCGCTGTCAGCAGCCGCGGCGTAGCCGGGCTATGTCACAGAGGGAGGAGCGCTCGGCGACAGCCGAACGATCCGACTGGTTATATATAGTAGGATGATCGTCTGGCCAGATTCAAAAACTTAACGCATTGCTCGAGCTATTTTCAATTATTTTCTACATTTTGCTGGAAAATGCACTGTGACGGTTAGGCGTATTTTGCACACTCTACCTCGCCTAAGGAAAGAGTGCCTGGCGAAGCCAGGCCGGCCCGGCGAAGCCGGGCCGTGACAAAGAAGGAGGAGCACCCGGCGGCAGCCGGGTGATCCGACTGGTATTCCAAAATAAACAGCATACGATTTCTAAAATGAAGACACTCGAAATCCCTGAGATCGGGTAGGCGGGCCGAATGCTTCAACTTAACCTGAAGGTGTCTATGCTTCTAGTGGAATATTTCCATCTTGACACAACTGTTGTCGTGTCTCTGTCCAACACAGAACAAGATGACAGTTGTCCCAGATTGGAATATTCCACGAGTAACCAGTTCCGTGCCATGTTCACGCCATATTGCGCCACGCCTACTCGTGGGCTCAGGGATAGAGTGTAATAATGCGTGTCGCATCCAAAAAAGTGATTCAGGCAGTGGAAGACTATCATTGCTGAGTGTGGTGTGTGTGTGTCGCACCATGGAAGTGATTTACTGCATGGGGGAAAGGCTTCGAATAGACCTTTAAAATGACTTGGAAACCAACAACTGAATTAAGGTTAGCATTCATACTTTGGCAGTCGCTAGCGCTTCAGCCAACTACCAGCTGCTTTTCACCACTATTCCTTGGACCGCTGCAACTGTAATCCAGTCGCACCAAGGATATAACGTTTTTGGAGAGCTGCACTTTTCCCACAATGCGAAAGAAAAAGCCCTTTGAGAAATCGACGCGCGAGCACGCACACGCTCGAGTTCATGAAGTATGAACGCGGTCCGACGGATGGCCGCCCTTGCAATCTTTTCTGCATATTTGCCAGAATGATTAATTGGAAAACTAGTCCTTACTGGAAAGGATTTCTGTAAGTATAATGGGATTGTTGGATGAAATGTATTCAACTTTTAGTGGCTTTTGAACATCAGTTTTAATGCGATATTTTCCAAAAATCAGGTAGAAATAAGATAATATGCTGTCAAGAACAGTTCAAGAGTCGGTTGAAGGGGTGCATTTCAAGTATTTGATTCCTAAAACGGTCGGAGATCCCTTACGAAATAGATATTTTCCAGAAAAAGCAGCTCGCCCACCAGGTGAATCTGACGGCAACGTGGTGGGAGAACCCGAACTACAAATGTACCCGCGGCCAGCAAAAGGCGAAAAGCCAGCAGAAGAAGGCAAGCCGCCAGGTGAATCCGAACAGCCAGGTGGAGAAAGTAAACCACCGGGAGGAGTGGAAGGAGTCAGCTCAGCCAGAACCAGGTGGATCCCGGCGGCTAGGTGGAGAACGTCATGCTCCGGAACAACCGCATAAGCTAGCTTATCCACCACCAGCAGAGCCAGAGAAGCCTGCTCATCCAGCGCAAGCAGAACCTGAGCAGTTACCAACGCCAATACCGGCAAGACCACGTACAACACAGAAGATGCCGCAAGATCTGCAGATGTTCCCACGACCGGACTCCTTGGGAGTCGCAAAGATCCCGTCAAAAGCTGTCGAAAAACCGAAACCGGTAACTACTTTGCAATTATATTGTACTTCTCTTAATCTGTTTTTGTGATTTTTCTGAGTATAAGCTGCGTTTTCAGGCTCACGCCACTCAACCAACTCATACTGGACCTCGAGGCGTACGATAATTTTGTTTTTACTTTCACAGATTTTTTGGTATTTATAAAGTATGAATGACTAATTATTAATTTTCAGTGGCAACTTCCACGCCAGTACAGATCATTACTGTGAGTTTGAGTTAGCATAGCTTACTGTTAGTAAGGAATAATCAGGGTTTTTTTTCCTCAGGAGAGCGAGTATTTCGAGCGGCGTGTCCTGGAACGCGTGCTGATGGTACGTTTTATCTACATTCCTCCGGGTATGGTCGAAGCAAAGGCCAGTCGTATCAGACTATGCCGCAGGCTCTGTGACAGCGCAGTTCGGGACGCAGCCATCGGAGAGTTCGCGCCAAGCTGGGTCACACTAGCCCC